GGTTATTATAATTTTATCAACCAGGTTGGCCGGGCCAGTCTAGTATAATTTCTAAAAAAGGAAATATCAAAATTATACGTATGTAATTTATTAAAAAAAGATGTTTCTTATAATTCAAGTCCCGGATAAACATTAAAAAGCTTACTATTATGTTTTAAAAATAAAATATCATGAACAATATCAGAAGAAAGACGATTTCGTTTTTCAGTTATTATATTTCCTGCATCTGAAAAAAGTCTTTCAGAAGGAACAGATGTAGCAGGAATGGCAAGATATTTTCGTGCTTGTTTAATATGATGTGGAAAAGTTTTTATATTATTATTCCACCAAACAAGTGGATTTTCTTTTTGATAAAGGGGATTAGAAAGAGAATGCTTATGAATTTGTGGCATTGATTTATAAATTTGCATTTCAAAGGATACTGGAGAGGATTCATTTGTCAAATTCTCATCATCAAAAAATAAATTTGTTTGTTCAGATATCATTGAAGTAAATGTTGAAGATTCATTATTTTCTGCTTCCATTTTTTCCAATATTTGAGATCGTATATTGTCCCATTTTGTACCGGCAAATTTCATATTTTTAAATCGTGGATCAAAATAAGCTGCGAAATATCCAATATTATCAGTATTATTCCATCGTTGATCCAATGATTCTTTGATTATATTACAAGTTTCCAAAACTGATTCATCAATAATAGTTGAACTTTTCATCAAAAGATGAGCCATAAGTTTTGTCAGAATAGGATACATCATACTCAATGTTGGATAAGAACTTCCACCAATAAGTTCAGTAACTTGCACAAAGGGCTTTAATAAATCTACTAATTCTTCTAATGCTTGCCATTCGGTATGATTTAAAAATAAATGTTCCAAAACTTTTCCATCTTTTTTTGCTATATTATCATTGTCATTTAATAATACAGCAATTAGTGATTGAATGATATGTTTCAATTGCAGAAGGCGTGCAAAGACTAGATATGTCGAATTCCATCTAGTCTTTACATCTTGAATAGGTTCAAGCTTACTAGAGGTCGAAGTAGAAGCATTTGAAGTACCATTGATTAATTTTTGTAAATCACGAAGTTTTTGTCGATATTTATCATGATTTACCAAAAACTTATTAAGAGCTTTTGCACGTGTTATTAAAGCCTGACATTTTGACAATCCATCATTAATTGCGAGTTGTAAGGTATGTGCCATACATTTGATATGACGATATCCCAATTTTTGTATTGCGGCATGCATATTAGCTGCATTATCTGTAGCACCAGCGATAACTTGATTGCTTATTTCCCATTTATCGAATAATTGTTGCAAAAAATCAGCAATTCTATCACCTGAATGGCCATAAGGAAATTCTTCAATTGTTAAGAGTGCTTGACAAAGATTAAAGTCTGACGTTAACCAATGTATAGTTACGCCGATATAAGGTTGGTGAAATTGTGTCCAAAGATCAGTTGTAAAGCTACACGTTATCATTGTTTCTTTAATGAGTTTTCGTAATTTGTTTTCAGCAAATATAACGGCATCAAAAATTTTAGTTTTGATTGTTTCTGAACAGGGAACTGTAAATCGTCGATCTAGTCCATTGCTCAAGTGAACGAAAGATTCTGATTCAGTAGTACTAAGAGGTTGAAGATCATCAACAATAAATCTAACAAGAAGATAAACAAGTCGTATATAATGTTTTTCAGTAGCTTTGTATGGCTTTATATTTTTGACACATGTTTCCAATGTCTGCTGTGTTTGGTTGGCGATAAGGTTCAATGCTTTTGCTGAATCGATTGCATTTGAAATTCGATGAACGGTTCTTAAATGATTTCCAATATTTGTAGTACTTGTTGTAGCTGCAAATTTTGCATTACACGGCTTCTCAATATCATTTTCTGTTACTTGTACAGTACAACATCGTATTTTAGTGCTCGAATCCACGTGTATATAATCCCACACCCAGCTTGAGCCCCGTTTGCTTTGTGATTGTTGGGATTGGTGAGCATTCGTTGATAAAACAGCAACACGTTGTGGTGCAAGTGCTGAAGTACATGTATTAAATGTTGAAGTGAACAAAATTGGCGGAGGTAAAGGTGACGACGGTAGGGTTGTTACATTTTCATTTTGATTATCTTGAGGAGTTTCATAAGAGATTTCTTGAGACGTGTCATAAGTCATTTCATATATTTCTTCATTAGAATTTTCATAAGTTTCATGAGGAATTTCATGGTGAGTCAGTTCATTTGAAGTTCCACTTTGCGTAGCAAATGTACTTGCGTTATAAACAACAAATTGTAGTTGGTTATCAGAACCTACGGAACGCTTTCTTTTGCCTTTCTTGCTCCGTTCACTCTGCACCATTCCGTCTTCCTCGAATGCGAATAGTCGTAATGAAAAAGTAGCATGAACACTTGAACGCAATGCATAATCATACAATGTTTCACAATTTAAATTGTCCATCA